CTGGTCAGCTCTGTCGTGAATAACTTGGAGAAATACATCAGTCAGGCTGGTCAGATATGCGGATATCAGGACATAAAAAAAGGGAAACAGAACAGTTGGGGGAGGAGAAAAAATGATTCCAAAAGAACATTATAAGCTTGAACAAATCACCTGAACCTGAAAAGATGCCTTTGAACTCATATATTTTTCAAATTTGTGTGCTGCACGAAGTACAGCCATTGCCCTGGGTAATTAGCTATTTGGGGACAATAAGATTTCAGAGGCTGCAAAAAACCACTGAAACAAGCATTGGTGCATCAAACAAAGACGCACTGACGTCTGGCACGTTTGGAAAGCACACCACAGGGCTATTCTGCATGTGATTTGGGAAGCAGATGTTAAAGATCTGCAAGTTTTAGTGATTGACAGTGTGAGGACTGCTGACACAGAGGAAGTGCCACATCGGCTGCCTTAATGTAGCGGGGGGTTAGCAGAAGGGATGGATACTGTATTCTGTCTTGATCACACCACATGTAGGATAAGTTAGTGGCATTTAGCTAATTTATTTTAATTGATATAATCCTTAAACACGTGTTTCACAAGTGACACTGGCAAACTCAAGAATATCCAAAGATGATTCCGGAGGTTGTGTCCGCAAGCTATTCTATGTGAGAAATGATGGCAGAAACTGCAGTGCCATTAACCTGGGGAAAAAGGAGAGACCTGGCCCCTGATCATGCCTGGTGATGTTTTAAAGCAGGTGTCAATATATCACGTAAATAAATTATGGGACCCCATTTTGTAAATGCGTGTAACACAATTACCTGGCTTTAAGCTACATGTTAGGAAAATGCTTGGAATTTAGTATTAAGTAATTGTCACGTTCAATGGCAAAAACTAGGACTACATACTGTAGTAGGAATGATAGGAAGGCATAATTTTTTACCTGGTGTGCAGAACAAGCTTTTAAACAATTAGCAGGTTCTGAATAGAGTAGACTGCCTGCAATTTCTGTGGTGGCAGGATCTCTTTTTCATTAATGAGATGCTTTACTTTTAAAAAATGGATTCATATGTATTATTATTAAATTAGTAATATTTTAAAACTTTTTTTAACACTAGAAATTCTGGGTTTCTCTCACTTTCTGTTTTGTTTTGTTTTCTGCTGTTGTTTTTTTTTGTCTTCCTGTTTATAAAGGAACATCACTGTTTCAAAAGATTAGAAACTTCCCAAAGGTAAAGTTGCCCAGGTCCCTCAGGAAATTAGGGTTCAGTTCTCAGTATTATTTGCAAATTCCGGTAACACTCATTCTCTGACCTGCTCCAGGCCTGGGGGCAGGTCTCCACCCCCACCTGTGCTCGGGTTTTGTGCAGCTGGGCAACCAAAACAATGTTCCGTGAGACAGAATTTCCTTCTGACGGGCGTTCTCTGGGTCTCCCCATCACCACTGCTTGGAAGCTTGTCTTCAAGTCCATATCGCTGGAAGGAAGTTTTACTGTTGGTATTCTCTGCATTTTCCCTTGATTTGTGATGAGTGCAGGTGGGTGATGTGTCCCTGGGGTGCGCTGCTCCCCCCAGGTGACAGGTTGTCTCACAGAGCGCGTATGGTCTAGTCCCTCTTGTTAGCAGAGAAAGACTGTTGGGCGGTGAGACTGGGCGCAGGGCGGTGCAGGGCCACCTGCGAGTCTCCAGTGGGAGAAGTTCGGCAGTGAGCAGGCCATGGTGGTGATGTGGGCCCGCCTTATCTGTGGTACTCTGGTGCAGTTTATGCAGGAAATTTCCAAGACCACACCCAGTGTCCATCTGTGTGTGCGTGTGCGTGCGTGTGTGTGTGTGTGCGCGTGTGTGAGTGTGTGTGATAGCTGTGTGTGTGTGTGTGTCTGTGTGTGTCTGTGTGTGTGTGTGTGTGTGTGTGATAGCTCTCTTCTTTGGACTGGAAAAATTCATCTGCCTAGGCCAGTGATGGCGAACCTTTTGAGCTCGGCGTGTCAACTTTTGAAAACCCCTAATTTAACTCTGGTGCCGTGTCACATATAGAAATGTTTTGATATTTGCAAGCATAGTAAAACAAAGACTTACATTTTTTATCTTTATTTTATATATTTAAATGCCATTTAACAAAGAAAAATCAACCAAAAAAATGAGTTTGCGTGTCACCTCTGACACGCGTGTCATAGGTTCGCCATCACTGGCCTAGGCTGTGCTCAATGTGAGCTGTTTTTTACCCCCACCCAGCAATTAGTACAGTATGAGCTAGTGATTATGAACTCATATTGCTGTGTGGCCATTTGTTATATGGGAATAATACACGCTTTACAGTCATTATATCATTCAGTGCTCACATTTTTATAAATGAGGAAATGAAGAAGCTGAAGTTCATGGAGGTTGAGCATCTAACTAAGATCAGACAGCTGGTGAGCAAGGGTTTCCTGGTCCCCCTGACTCCAAAGCTAATAACCATCTTATTATTGTGTAAAAGTTCCTAACATAGAGCAACTCAAAACATCTCCAAATTTTACTTGGTCTTTCCTGAAGTCTACTGGCTTAGTGTCACAATCTGAGCTATAGACACGAATACGGATCAGGGTCCTTGATCTCATGAGGTTTGCAGAGTAGTAGGAAAAATATCATTAAATAGGTAATGGTAATTAATGGCAGTTTTGACAGCTGCTACCAAAGGAAAGTATGGTTCAAACCATTATATGAGAGTTCAAGAAAAATATCTGAGATGGCCAAGAGACATATGAAAAAAAGCTTTAAAATGACAGTGACCTGTCAGAATGGCTATCATCAGTAAATCAACAAACAAATGTTGGCAAGAATGCTAAAAAAAAAAGGGAACCATTGTACACTCTTGAGGGTATGCAGATTGGTGCAGCCACTGTGGAAAGCAGTATGGAGTGTCCTCAAAAACTTAAAAATGGAACTGTGTATGTCCCAATGATTCTAAGAATATATTTATAAAAA